ATATGGCCTTTCTTTTCACTACATCTGTGTCTTTGGGGTAAATACCTAGGAGTGTAATTGCTGGGTCATAGGGTAGCTCTATTTTTAATTTTTTGAGGCACCTCCACACTGTTTTCCAAAGTGGCTATACCCCTATCTTGCATTCCCATCAGCAGTGTAAGAGGGTTCCCCTTTCTCCACAGCCTCTCCAACATTTGTTGTTTTTTGCCTTGTCCATTTTTGCCATTCTAACTGGTGTAAGGTGGTATCTCAGTGTGGTTTTGATTTGAATTTCCCTGATGGCTAGTGATGGGGAACATTTTTTCATGTGTCTGCTAGCCATTTGTATGTCTTCTTCGGAGAAGTGTCCGTTCATGTCTTCTGCCCATTTTTCGACTTGATTATTTGTTTTTTGGGTGTTGAGTTTGGGAAGTTCTTTATAGATCCTGGATATCAGCCCTTTATCTGTAGTGTCATTTGCAAATATCTTCTCCCATTCCGAGGGTTGCCTCTTTGTTTTGTTGACTGTTTCCTTTGCTGTGCAGAAGCTTTTTATCTTGATGAAGTCCCAAAAGTTCATTTTCGCTTTTGTTTCCCTTGCCTTTGGAGACGTGTTCTCAGGCTCTGTTCTATGAAAAAGTTTGGGTGAAATTTCTTCCTTAAATGCTTGTGTAAAAGCATTAGAGAATATGTGTGCCATTTTTAGAAATTGTGTTTTTCAGTTTCCTCTATATTATAAAACTTACTGACATAAAGCTATAATTACCCCTTAAACAACCCACTTTTGGCATTGGTGCTTTTCTTTGAGTTTAATTTTCTCTTTTTCTAGTATTAGTATTTCATTTTTGGATGCCTCCTCTCTTTCAAGTATTAGTATTTTATTTCATGTGTCTAGAGTATCTCTAATCATCTAAGTTTATGTTTCTAAATATTAAAGAAAGAGAGGGATGAAGGAGAACTCAAAAGTTCATTGCCTGCCACTCTTATCCTCAGTTGTTCATCCTTTTCAGTCTGATGTATTTACTTTTAGGATACAGCCCTTTGTCAAGTACATGAGTGATAAATATTCTTTGAATCCTTGTATAACCAAAAATATGTTTCTTAGACTCTCTTAAGTGAATGACATCTTGGCTCAATATAGGATTCTTGGGTTGAATTCCTTTTATTCCAGTGGATATTATTTCAGTGACTTTAAGTTCCAGTGCTGCATCTGAGAAATCTGATGTCAGACTGATTCTTCTTTGTAATTCATTTTTTTTAAACTGGAAGCTTAAAAATTTTCTCTCTCTCTTTTTTAATTATTTAGAAATTAGGCACTTTAACAGTTTTTGCAGTGTCTCATAAATCTTGCCTAGAACTCAGCAAACCTGTTCAAATTTCAAAGTCAGTCTTTAGATCCAGAAATTTTATTCCTATTCTGTTGCTTGTTTAATTATTATCTCTTCTGTGGCAGTTCATATTCTTCTACTTGAATTTCTGTTTCCTTTCATATAAGAGTTCCTGGATCTATCTTCTAAGTCTCTTCCTTCATAATTTCCACTTCTTTACATTTTTACTGTGTCTTGAAGTACTTACTACACTTAATTTCAGTCTCTGTAGTGACCATTGGTTCCTCCAATTAAACTACTCAGTTAGCTTTGAAAGTCATGTGTGTTCTCTCCATGAAGTCTTGTTTTGTATTGTACACTAGTGTCCTTAGAGGTTTTCATTGTTTTTCTAAGTTCAAGTTGTTGCTTGTCTTTTCTACAGCTCAATTTCACTGCATGACATATATTCTTGTTTATAGATCCTAGACTATATGGTATAGAAGCAGACACATCACCAGTAGTCCACTGCAGAGGCCCCTGTGCTCACACTCTTTATTCCCAAATTTAGGACTCTGCCCAACTACGCTGCAACTTCTTGGCCTCTTGAGTGCCAGTGAGACCAGGCATAGACTTGTAGGACTGAGGCTACCTTCCTCATCCTGTTCTATTTCCATTACCAGCAGGAACTCACAGTTCATGTGGGCTGAACTTTCTATGTGTAGTCCATACATGGGGATTAATTCCTATTAAATAAGCTGTGTTAAGAGAATGGTCTTCGTTACTGAAAAATAAATAAAATAAAAATCATTTTTTTCTGTAGGAAAATTGATAGGTACTTTTAAAATATGCTGAAGTATTTATATTATTTTACTTTTTCCCTCATGCACAAATAAAAAACTCATAGTTATTCTTTATTATGTGTTTATAGGTTAGCATGGCCTCGTTGAAAGAATTAGACCAAAGACTCTTTGAAAATTACATTGAGTTGAAAGCAGATCCTATCGTGGGCTCCTTGGAACCTGGAATTTATGCAGGCTATTTTGACTGGAAAGACTGCCTGCCTCCAACAGGTAAATGGTTTCAAGTTACTGAAGTTCTCTAAAAGTAGTCCAGTGCATCTGGAGTAATAAATATGGATTTTATCAATTAGTGTATTCTTAAAATCCTTTTTTTAATTCATATTTTTCCCATTAGTTTGATTTTAACTTTTTATTAGCTTAAACCCATTTTTGATAGTTTGGAATTTAGTGTACCTTTTATTATTCATACTTAAGGCTTAAAATTATTCTTAAATTCCAGAAAATAATTAGTTATACCTTAAAATATTTGATCATTTTAGTAATGCATATTTGCTTCCCAGGATATGTCTTTATTGCATAGATAGAATAAACCATGAGTGACAGTTTTATACAATGACTTTGTGACTGTCATCAAAAAATTTACGTAAGAAATTTGGTCACTTCTGTATAAGACCTAATTATTAATGCTGACAAGGTGAAGGATAGAAGAAAAATGTGTAGGAGTATGATTATTACAGTAATTTAGCAAAGAAAGTTGAACCACAGAAGGATGACCGACACAGTTCCAGTATTATCTCGTGACATCAAATGAAAGTCACTTAAATTACTTCATAATATATATTTTAAAAACTATTGCTTGCTGAATCCAATAAACTTTTTGATGGATCAGATAGTTACTCATTTGTATGAAATAGTGTGGAATACATAGAACAAAGCTCCCTAGTAACATTTTTATCTAGAAGTAGTCTTATATAGAAATGGTCACGTTTATATTAGAAATAGATTCTTTTTTTTTTTTAAGATTTTTATTTATTTGACAGAAAGAAAGACAGCCAGAGAGGGAGCACAAGCAGGGGGAGTGGGCAGAGGGAGAAGCAGGCTTCCCACAGAGCAGGGAGCCCAGTGTGGCGCTCGATCCCAGGACCCTGGGATCATGACCTGAGCTGAAGGCAGACGCTTAATGACTGAGCCACCCAGGCGCCCCTAGACATAGATTCTTTTGGGATGTATATGTAGATGTACAGTGAATTGTTAACAGGCTTGAGTTAATCTTCACTGTTTTACCTAATTGCTTTAAACACTTTTTTTTAATTGTGTAATGCTTTTATTAGATGGTGATAAAATTGTTTAATCTTTAAACACCTTTGTGTTTTTATTGTGTAGTGTTCACTTTAGGTGAACAATATAGTGATGCCATAAATCAAAACTAAAAACCAGAATCATGAAATTAAAGTTATTTTATGTGACCACAGGTATTTTATTTTCTGAAATCATAGCCATTATAGTCATCTGAGGCTTTCTACCTACATGTGGCCATAATTAATCTTTTTTTCCTTAAATTCTGTTACTTTCCTATATACATACTTACTGTGTCCAAACTGGGTTATAGTTCATATCCCAAATATATCCTTTTAAAGTTTAAGTCAGATCCTATTTGTGTCTTAAGATCCTTGCAATATCTTCCTATTAAACTTAAGTAAAATGTGCAATGCCATGCAGGGTAGGCTCCAGCCTGGTGCCCTGGCACTTTGCCCACCACTCACGAGTATACCCCATGGCCTCTCTCCAGCTACACTTTAGCACAGTGAGCCTTTTTCTTTCCCATACTTTCTAAGTTCTTCCACCTTACCTCTTCAAGCCTGTTTTTTCCTTTGCTTACGCAGTAATTCTCCTTTATCTTCATAGGACTGACTCCCTTTTGTCATTTAGGTCTTAAACTTAAATATCACCATACCAGCCACCAACCTGAAGAAATGACATGGCCAATGGACAATTGGCATGAAGTTTTAAATTTTAACCTGTGAAAAGTACTCATCTTATTTGTAAAGTAATTACTTATAAGAGAGAATGCTATACATGTGGTTCTAGCCTGGCCTTTATGCTGGTTGAACTTATTAAAGCTAAATCCATGAGGGTATAGTTAGTGGCTTGATTACCACTTTAAGTGAACAAACATGACATTTAACAATAAATTATCATTCTTAAGATCAGTCAATAGCATCTGGAGCTTTTGATCTATAATCCCTTTTTCAAAACTCTTGGGCCCAGATGACTTTTGGAATTTCAATATTTTTGGATTTTAGAAAGATATATGGCCATATATGGCACGTGCCATATATTATGTTATATTCCCAGCAAGGATTTCCACAGGGAAACATGAATTCTTAGACTAGGAGTGATAATCAGTATCCTTAATCAGGTCAGGTGAGAAAATGCCACCAGAAGAGTTCATCACAAATTTGCAAATTCATGAACAGAAAATTTTGCCTCTTGAATTCTGTATCATCAATATCTAAACTACTGCTTGGTACGTAATGCCTGCTCAGTAAATACTTGTTCAGTAACTGCACCAATGACCCCTTTATAGCTCCCACAGGTGCCTCTGCTAGTGTCTTTGCTGCCCCGTCATCACTTCCCTGGCTGGCCTGCGCATGCTTCAGGGCCCATCTCTGAAAGGGGTGCTTTGTCTGCCAAGTCTTCCTCCCATCAACCCTGACAGGATTGGTTGTTTTTGTTTTTTTTTTCCTGAATCCCATTACACCTTTTAACCTCTCTTATAATTCTTAAGTACATATACGTAATATTACATATTTTTTGTTACCTGTCTTTTATTGCCCCATTTTGGGAGCATTTTTAAACAAAGATGTGTGGAGATTTCTTTTCACATTCATAGACTTCAATTATATATTTTTATAGAGCAGTGACTGGAAGTTTCATAATTCCAAGGGATAGATATCAAAAGCGTTTTTCTTTTTATTTTTTTTAAAGATTTTATTTATTTGAGAGAGAGAGACAAGAGACAGTGACAGAGATAGAGAGAGCACAGGTGGGGAGGAGAGGGAGAAGCAGGAGCCTGACGTGGGGCTCAATTCCAGGACCCTGGGATCATGACCTGATCTGAAAGCAGCCGCTTAACTGAGCCATCCCAGGTGCTCCTCAGAAGGGTTTTTCAATAAAATCTCTTTATTTTCTACTCAAGGTAATAATGCACAATACTCCAGTATTGCCCCTACTGTTCTTAGACGAGTGCTGGTGAACTAAATGTCACTGCCCTGTCCTTTCTCCCCAGTCTTAGAAGAACTAGACAGAAAGAGCTGAGCTTTCTGGACCAGCCTGATTCCTGCTTCTCCCTTGACTGGCCTGCCTCCACCTTCTGTCTAAAATGGCTGAGAGGGATGGCATCCAGTGACCACTTTTCCTTAGTTGGGGCACTTCCCCTTGTGTATATGTATAAAATTATACATATACACATGTATATGGGAAAAGAAAAGCCTTAGTTTTGCTGTACATATACACATGTATGTGGGAAAAGAAAAGCCTTAGTTTTGCTGTACATATACACATGTATGTGG